ATAAACTTGTAAAATTATATAGTTGTAAACAAAATAAAAGTCATTAATCTAACAAAACTAGTCTTTTAAATGTTTTTGCTGATTATTATTTTGTTATTTCATCATTCCAAATATTCATCTAACATTTTAAACTTCACATAGTATATGGTTTTATTAAAAATATTATATTAGTATTATTTGTTAAAACGGGTGAATGAGTTGAATTACCAAACTAAGATAATAATTAGCAATCTATGGAGAAACCATAGCCATTCAATCTTAATGAATTGGTTAAATTGTTGAATTGTCATAATTTTTTTGTCAGTAGTGCTAATTTCTCTACATGTTATTTACCTACCATAAATATTACACAGTATAAAAGATGAATCATATGCATAATTTGTCACCAGCATGTGATACTGAAGTATATAATCATGAATATGTATATCTAGACTAATACACTTTTGCTTTACGGAATTAGAAATTACAACTCTTTTTTCTTTCTTAAAACTTTCTCATTTAGGAAGAAAAACAAACAAATTCAAACATGCTTAATTCCTTGGTTGTTGCTCTTGCCCATCTCAAGCCCATTCCCATACTCACCATCCTCCACAAATCTTGACCAATACCAATGTGACCTCCACACTTGACCCATCTCCTCTATCGGAATCCCTTTTGTCTCCGGCAAGAATATGTATACGAAAATCGACATCACCACCACGAAAAAGGCAAATACGAGGAATAACCCAAACTTCAAATGGCAAAGCATTGTCAAGAAGATTTGTGCGATTATGAACGTGAAGATCATGTTCACTGACACCGTGATACTCTGTGCGGCCGACCTTATCTCTAACGGGAAGATCTCACTCGGTACTAACCATCCTAGCGGACCCCATGACCACGCGAAACCCGCCACGTAAATGCATATGAACGTTACAACAACAATAGCATACCACTTTGGTAGCTCACCAGGGGTCCCGTCTACCCCAAACTTGGCCCCAATACACGCTGCAACAACAGCCTACAATCACACAAGAAAAAAAGAAAAACATACATTGATTAGTATAATCGATATAAAAACATTAGTACACAATACAAATTGATCTCTAAAACCATGTATCCATCTATATCAACGTCAAGTATAAGTTCATATATCACAAGTCTATTATCCAATGAGAATAGATCTCTAAATTCATACTAAGTCCAAAATGTGTTTATGTCCAATAAATTATGAAAATTGTTGTTTTTCCTTACCTGACATATTAGCATTTGTGTACCACCTTCAAGAAAGAGAAACCTACGTCCCCACCTATCAACACCGTAGATCGAAACGAGCGTGGCTGCGACATTAACCGAGCCAGTCACCACGGCGGACATGAGAGAAGCGTCGGTCGTGAAACCAATGGTGTTGAACAAAACCGGAGCGTAAAACATAATCACATTGATTCCGGTTAACTGCTGAAAGAAGGGAATCATAATGGCCATAGTGAGATGTGGCCGGTATTTACGTCGGAGGAGGTTTGTCCACGGATGCTCTATCGCCTGAGACTCTTTACTCGCGGCGACTAAATCGTCAAACTCTTGGCTCACGTCATCGACGCCACGGATTCGCCTAAGCTTGGTTTTAGCCTTCTCGTGGTGGCCTCTCTCGATCATTGAGTTGGGAGTGTCAGGGAGGACGAGTGAGCCGATGGTTATGATCAGGGCGGGAACCACCGCGCCTCCGAGACTGAGCCTCCATCCCCAACCGCCTTTGATCTTGGCGAAGAAGTAGTTGAGAACTTCGGCGACGAGTATTCCGATTGTGATTGAGAGTTGGAAACCAATGTTTAAAGCTCCTCTGTATTTGTATGGAGCCATCTCCGAGAGGTATAGTGGCACAGCCTGTAAATAAGGAAATTAAACATGGTTAGTTACGTCATTAGCGGTTCGAACTGACTTTTTGTAAAGTTAAGATTCGGATTGGTTGAATCAATCAGGGTCAATTACGTCATTGTGTTTAAGGTCAAGAAGATACGGTCCCAATATGACCTTTTTCTAACTTAAAGATCCGTATCAATGAGTGATCGAAGTTGTAATGAG